TTCTCAGATAATTCTAGAATAGTGACCTTTAGCTCCTTAGGTCACACCCGTATCATTCTCATATTAGAGTTTCTCAGATAATTCTAGAATAGTGACCTTTAGCTCCTTAGGTCACACCCGTATCATTCTCATATTAGAGTTTCTCAGATCATTCTAGAATAGTGACCTTTAGCTCCTTAGGTCACACCCGTATCGTTCTCATATTAGAGTTTCTCAGATAATACTAGAATAGTGACCTTTAGCTCCTTAGGTCACACCCGTATCGTTCTCATATTAGAGTTTCTCAGATAATTCTAGAATAGTGACCTTTAGCTCCTTAGGTCACACCCGTATCATTCTCATATTAGAGTTTCTCAGATAATTCTAGAATAGTCACCTTTAGCTCCTTAGGTCACACCCGTATCGTTCTCATATTAGAGTTTCTCAGATAATTCTAGAATAGTGACCTTTAGCTCCTTAGGTCACACCCGTATCGTTCTCATATTAGAGTTTCTCAGATAATTCTAGAATAGTGACCTTTAGCTCCTTAGGTCACACCCGTATCGTTCTCATATTAGAGTTTCTCAGATAATTCTAGAATAGTGACCTTTAGCTCCTTAGGTCACACCCGTATCGTTCTCATATTAGAGTTTCTCAGATAATTCTAGAATAGTGACCTTTAGCTCCTTAGGTCACACCCGTATCGTTCTCATATTAGAGTTTCTCAGATAATTCTGGAATAGTGACCTTAGGTCACACCCGTATCGTTCTCATATTAGAGTTTCTCAGATCATTCTAGAATAGTGACCTTAGGTCACACCCGTATCATTCTCATATTACCGGTTCTCAGATCATTCTAGAATAGTGGCCCTTAGCTTCCTAGGCTACACTTATATCATCATCATGTAACAGATCCTTTTGCAGAACGTCGCTCTCATCCCGCTTAGGGTGGTAGATTAAACGTTTATTTTTTAGTTAAGGTTAGGGTTAGATAAACAAGCGAAAACCTTGGCCTTGGAAGAAACGCTGCAAAGCACAGAAAACAATGAAAACCCGCTCTTACCACCCTATAAAATATTGAACTGTCCCGTGACGTCATTTGTGGTCGGCTAAAAAAAAGCACCAACAAGATTGTTGAAATAGATAATGGTGGTTGGGGGGGGGGGGGGGAGTTTGTCAGTCCCCTAGACGAAAAACTGTATCTGAACCATCTTTCTTTGATGCACACATCTTTAATATTGTCAATATTTTTGCGTCTTCCAGATCGAAGGCGGTCCAAGAGGTTTTCTGTAACATTTAAAAGCAAAATTAACCATTAAGTGCGTTTAAAGATGGATACTTTGCTTTACTAATGCCAAGGGTCGGTGCTTCTAAATTGGTATATGATATATAGACTGACAACATAAACAGCTATTTGTGCATTTCGTCACCAATTAATGCTTACTAATGATTTTACGACTCTTGTGTATGTCTCTGTTCCTCCTTTTCTGTCCCTCATGTGTCCTCAGTACCCTCTCTACCTGCGTGTTTACAAACAAATCACAAGTCCCGGAGTATAAGAGGCGTCAAAACTAAGTGAATACTTTCCCACGCTGGACATAAAAAGCCGCTGCCATCTGCCGTGGCTACCTGACCGCTCAAGGTCAGTGCTATTACCAGGCTTTCCTTTCTGTCCCTCGCATCCGACTGGCGTTGATAGGATTGGGTGGTTTCGGTGTCCGCGCCTCCCTTCTTATCTTGGCTTCAGTATCTTACAATTTAGAATAATGAAAATCGCTTCTTAAGCGTCTCTATTTATTATTATTGCATCCATACTTTAAGGACTGAATGTTGAAGAAGGTTGTCTATTAGAAGGACGATAAAACACGGATAATTAAAACATTTTTGTTACTTGAAAGGGGACGAAAGTTTAGAGAGAACAATAATGGAGGGGTATATGCCTAGAAAGAGCGCCGTCCGTGGCTGAGGTGTCGAGAGTCCGACTCGTAATTCTAACGTACCGCGATCGAAACCCACTGCTGGCTATGTGGATTATAATCATGGTTTGGGGCGTCGCAGGTCGACCCAGCCTAAAATGGGTACCAGGATGAATGTCCTGGGAAAGTAAAGACGGCTGGTGTAATGCTGACCACATTACCCACCAAGTGCCGACGGCCTGTAAATATATGGGCGCTCTTCCCATTTACCCATACACTTAAAAGGCATGAGAGGGAATCTTTACTACTTTACTTATATGTCTGGGAAGAGAGGAAGGGAAAGGCTAAAGAGAAGATAGATGCAGGGTGTGGCGGATGATCTCTAGATGGGTGTATCGGACGCGAGATCGAGAAGTTTTCAGGAGGGTTGTTATGCGAGCAAGGTTCTTCAAAGGGCATGCTACTGACTATAGTTTACTAGTATTTTGATCCAGTCATGTACATAATGTTTTAATTCAGTCACTTCAGACTTAATGTACATTTGTGTGTGTTATGTTTTGTTTCTTATCGTTGTGTTGTTGACAAAAACGAATTGCCACAACGTCCTTTTTTCGTTCATTGTAATTTGTTATGTAAAACTGAGAGAAAACTTTTTTTCTTACCTATTTTCTTTCTGTCATCTTTCTTAAAATTACCTCCCTTAAAAATGTTTTTTTTTTTTTTAAACACTCGCATGTTAAGATAAGCTATGGACTAAGAGGACAGTTAAGGGGAATTAAGAAAGCCGTTGCAGTGACAAGTAAATCAACAGGTATTGATTGGAATTGATAGGAAGGGTACCGATATATTATATATATATATATATTCTTTACCGAATATTCGCTTCGTTTCGCTTCGGGGCCAAATCATAATAACTTTCGCTATTCGGCCGAATAGTTGCGGTCGGGCCGAAAACGAATAGTGGTTACTTTACTCTTTCTGTATACACTGTATGGACTGAAAATAACTGTTTTTTTAACACAATATTTGCTGTTGCAATAAAATTGCGACCCGGTTGCGTGGTACAAACTGTTGCCAACCGCAGTGTGCGTGTGTGTGAGAGATAAGTTATGGACTAAGAGGACAGATAAGGGGAATTAAGAAAGCCGTTGTGGAGAGGCATGATCGTTGCGTGACAAGTAAATCAACAGGTATTGATTGGAATTGATAGGAAGGGTACCGATATATATATATATATATATATATATATATATATATATATATATATATATATATATATATATATATATATATATATATATATATATATACGTATGCCCTGGAACCGTCTTATACTTGGGGAAATGCGGGATCAAAGATGTCCTCATATTGAGCGCAGCGGTTCCACACACTGCGATTTGAGCAGAGGATAGCTTGAGCATGTATTACGTACGTTTTCCCACAACAGAATAGCGTGTAATAAGCTCTGCCGTTGTTTGTGGCACTAAGCCTTCCTGACACGCAACGTCTCATTGTGCTCATCATTGTTGGGGAGAATTCGTTAAATGATGGCGCTTGTGTAGCGAATGTTTGATCAGCCACGGCCAGCTCCAGATATAAGGCCGTACAGCTCAGACGGGAATTTCCATTTATGTGAGGCTGGCGTGGTCGGTCGGTGGTAACAATTGTTATCGAGTAGATTCATACACAAAGTTTAAAAAAAAAAGAAAAATATATATCTTCAAAATGATAATTCATTCAATAACACATATTGCAAATTAATTAAACTGTCGTTCTCTCCCCCTTCTGTCTGTCTGTCTGTCTGTCTGTCTGTCTGTCTGTCTGTCTGTCTGTCTGTCTGTCTGTCTGTCTGTCTGTCTGTCTGTCTGTCTGTCTGTCTGTCTGTCTGTCTGTCTGTCTGTCTGTCTGTCTGCCTGCCTGAATGCCTGCCTGCCTGTCTGTCTGTCCATATATCTTTCTCTCTGTCTGATTCTGTATATCTGTCAGTCGGGCTGCATCACTGCCTAACCATATGTCTGTCATCCATCCACCAGTCCACTCATATATGTCTGTCATATGCCTGTTCTTTGCGTCTTTATGTCTGCTTGTCTTGATATTTATGCCCATGCCCTGTCTTGCAAGACCTTGGCTCCCAGGTCGACCTAGTCTTGAGTGCGTACCAGGTGCAGTCCTGGGAAGTACATTCGGACGGCATGATGCTGACTACATCACCCATCTTGTGCCGTTGGTCTAAAAAATATAGGTCTAGTCCTGTATACCCAATACACCTGAAAGGTGTGGAAAGGGGTCCTTCACTTTTACTATCTTGCATGATCCTAACGACCTCTAAACGTTTGCATGCCGTCTTCCACTTACGGCCTCTCTGGCTTGGGCCTTATGAATGCTCTTCGTAATTCCGTGGAGAATGTGACACTCTGGGCACGTCAAACCGGGGGAGTACGGTACGTTACTCCTGTGTGTCTGGGTATTGATTGTCCGCGAGTAGCTTCGATCGCAGCTGCGGAAGATTTAGCAGCAAACCGCCTCGCGTTGGTTTCGACGATGTTGTCGAGAGCCGACAGTTTAGGGATGGTGGCAAACTGCTGAACATACAGTTGCTGATGAAATCACAAAGAGTTAACAAATACTTCTTCAGCTTTCCGTAAAAAAATCACGTAACAGACTTAACTCGCATACACTGACAACCTGAAGCTAGGTTAGTTCGTTTTATTGTAATACTTTAGATGCTTACGTACACGGAGCCGCCGTGGTGCCGCGGCTACATGTTCGTCCCTTGATCCGAGGGGTCTGGGTTCAGACGGAGCCGGACATTTTTCACAAATGACTATAGCTCTCAGGTCGATCCAGCTCTCATTGGGTACTAAGTAAAGTCCTGGGAAGTAAAGGCGTCTGGTGTAATGTTGATCTCATCCTCCACCGAGGACCGAATAGTCTTGAAAATATTAGTCTGGCCTTATATGCCAGAAACGCCTAAAGGCGTGGTAAGGGGTTCTTAACTTTTTGTTTAAAAGCCTTTATTTATAAAACAATATTAGTTTTTTTTTTTTTTTTTTATAAATACTTTCATAACAGCTGAGTTTTGTGTGTGTTTTCACAGGAAGCAAGCCGCTGTTGATAGCCAGGCTAGCGGAGATCCGAAACGCCAGCTCGGGCAAGGCTTGGTACACCTACGAGCACACCTTCAGCTCCCAAGTACTCAAGTATGCCTTCCGGTTTGTTTGCGACAGCAACTACTACGGGGCCAACTGCACCGAACTGTGCCGGCCCCGAGACGATAAGTTCGGCCATTACACCTGTAGCAGCAATGGCACCAAAGTCTGTCTCGACGGGTGGGATGGCCAGTACTGCGAGATTGGTGAGTATTGACCTTTTTTTTTTTTTAGGTTACCGGGGTACGTGAACTGCGGCTCGGTAGTGTTCAGGTTAATAGGTGCGTTTAACGGTTCCAGAATAGTTTTTATTACACCCCCCGCCCCCCGCCTTTTTTTTAAGTTTGCCTTGTTTTCGGACAGTGGTACGAGAATCTCACTGTGAAAGTGATTGGGGTTCATATCGTAATATTCTTTTTTTCCTTCTTTTTTTTTAAAGGACTCTGTAGTAGCCAACCAAAGTTGTAAAGACGTCACATAATTTTTTTTTTTTTTTTAGGGTCGCAAAGAATAGGCACACTCGTTTCTCGTATTTTGGTTTTCCTATTTCTTTTTTGCTCTTTCCTCCTTTCATTCCGCTCGGTCAGTTTTTTTTTTTTTTTCAGTTCGCTCATTCTTTTTCTATTCACCTGTTTCCTGTTTTGCCGGTTTGTTCACTTGTTCGTTCATTTCATAATTTTCTTCCTTCCTTGGTTCATTGATCCACTCGTTTGCCCACTTGCTCCATAGTTCGTTCGGTTTTGTCGTTGTTTATTCGTTTGTCTTCTCAACGTGCTAGTTATGAACACTTGGAAAAACACAGCCCTATATTGCTTCACCTTTAGCAAACCAGCATTCATTCTGTATTATTTTGCACATTTATATGTTTTGCCCTTCGCAATTTAATCACATGTCTAGTAAAGAGAAGAATTATAGGAAAAGAGGTTCCATGTCCAGTTCTCAAGGAATTTTACCATCAGTGTCTTGCCACAGAACTTTCCCACAGTATCGTGTAGACTACTCCCCATCAGAGTAGCTGATGCATGCCAACCTGTCAGCGCCTGTCAGTACCTGTCCTTGCGGTTTCATGTCTTGGACAGTGCGGACGTCCGGACCTTTCATGCTTGGTGTGTTTTCTTAGCAGTGCTTCTCAAACTGGCATGGGCGGCTGCACAGTGTTTTACGAGTGATGGGCAGATTTGTAGACTGTTGTAGATTTGATTAAATAAAGGACTTCTAAAAGTTCTTTATTTGTCGTACATTTCTTGTCCCTTTGAAATTACGAAAAGTTGTACTGGATGTATGTTGCTTGACGCTTCTGACCCCCCCCCCCCCCAACACCCTTCCCTTCCCCTAAAACCGTCCTCCATGTGTGTATATGAATCTCTGTGTGTGTGAATGCGAGCGCGTGTGTGTGGCTAAAATTGTTATAGGCTCGTGATCCGAAATTTCATGTATCCGACTTCTGATACCACCCTTCGACTCGCCAGTGTAGGTTTTAGGCGAACTTCTAGAGCTACGGAGTATCGTTCTGTGTGCGACTTTGTCGGCGGGCGATCACAGCCAAACGGGCCGAAACCCGATGCGATAAAGTCGATCCTTTCGCCAATAAGCAACTTTCATCGTCATTTTCTACCTGTTCTTGTCTGCATTCAGAACACATTTGTTTGTGCTGTAACTAGATTCCTGTGCTGTGTTTAGCACAGAGCAATAGCACAAATACTAAACTATATATGTTTAGTGCAGAACTGTAGCACAAATACTAAACTATATATGTTTAGCACAGAACAATAGCACAAATACTAAACTATATATGTTTAGTGCAGAACTGTAGCACAAATACTAAACTATATATGTTTAGTGCAGAACTGTAGCACAGATACTAAACTATATATGTTTAGTGCAGAACTGTAGCACAGATACTAAACTATATATGTTTAGTGCAGAACTGTAGCACAGTTCATTATCCGGGTATTTAGCACCGAAATATAGCAGTGTACGCATCTGTTATCTTGAGAACACAGGATATATAACACAATTCCAAATTCATGTATTTAGCACAGAACCATAGTAGAATTCCTTAATCCATGTATTTAGCATAGAACCATAATAGAATGTCTGTTCCATGTATTTAGCACATCACCGTAGTAGAATTCCTAATCCATGTATTTAGCACAGAACCACAGTCGAATTCCTAATCCATGTATTTAGCGCGTAACTATAGCAGAATTCATGTTCTATGTATTTAACATAGAACATAGTAGAATTCCTAATTCATGACAGTTACCAGCTGTCAGTGCCACTGCTAGATGTCGTTTGCTATGATTGTGATACACAACCAAATATTAGCTTCTGCTACGTTTTAAAAAGGGACAGAATATTAAGAATGCCATTATCCTTGTAGCTTTTTCTTTTCTTTCAATGATCTAATATTTGCATGGAGTCTAATATGTACACGCAGAGAGTGTTTGTGTTGAGGTCTCTGGACAGTGACATAACAAAAGTATGTGGCTTCAGTTACGTTGACCAGACCGTTCCAACCGCCCCCAACCCCACCTTTCCCCGGCCGTTGTCTTCCGGTCACACTTTTATGTGTTCCTGTTGTTTGTAAACACAAAATTATTATTAGAGCTTTGGACGCACAGTGGCTAACACGCCTGCTCACTGCTTTATATATTCCAATCCCAATCTCTTTGATCCTGCCTAGAGTTGGAAAAAAAAGGTTTAAAAAAAAAAGCAAAGGACCCTTTTCCACGTCTGCAGGCGTATTGGGCATATAGGACTAGACCTATATTTTATAGACCAATCGACACTGCGTGGGGGATGTGGTCTGCATTAGGCCGACCGCCTTTACTTCCTAGGACTTTACCTGGTACCCACTCAGGGCTGTGTCGACCTGCGAGCCAATGTCATTTTTGAGGGGTTAAAAAAGTCCTTGCTCTTTCAGACCTTCCGGTCCGCAGGCGAGAATCTACACCACGGCGTTTATCTGCATACAGTGGGCAGTAGAAAAGGTTCCGTGAAACTGAGGCCGCTCCTGTGGTTTAAGCTACATCTCTCGTTAAGTGCTGATTGGTAAATAATGGTATGGGGCCAGTTTGATAATAACGATACACACAGAGATGAAGAATGTGGCCTTTTGCTTATTTTACAACGGTAGTTTTGTATGAGAAATAATGAAGGCAAATGAAGAGGATGAAGAAAGAGGGAGTGAAAAGTAGAAGAAGTGGTGGTTGTGATGGTGGCTAGGAAGGGGGTGGGATGAGAGAAGGGCGGGAGAGAGAAAAGAAGAAAGGAGAAAGGATTATATTAGGATATGGTTTTAATAGTATGGGAGGAAGGAAGAGGGTAGTAAGAAAAACCAAAACGATAATTAGAAGGATGAGGGAGAGAAGAAGGATTCTGTATCATTCATTATCTCACGCTGGTTTCCGCTGAGTTAAAGACATTGCCCTGGGAAGTGGTGAGACAGGAGGATGTCCATTATCAACCAACGTGACCCAGATTGATGGCTCAGCCCTTTCTGAAAGGAGACTAAACATAAGGACACTGTAGAGGTAATGAGACAACCAGGTTTCTCCATTGTAGAAATGGAAAACAAGCAAACAAACCCAGACGGATGTGACATAATGTCGGCAGACGTTGTTCTTTATCTTTTCTGATCGTCGACTGCCATCTGTCCAGTTATGACGTTTGGCCCGTAAGAAGAAGCATTAGACCTCTTCGCCTGCCACTTAGAATAAACAAGGTAGTCATCTTGAAAGACGTTACGTCCAAGTCGGTTGCTGTTGACCTGGTATTTGTGGTGCCCGTAGGCAGGAGATCTGGGCTGACATCTGGTTCCGGTGTCTCCGGGCGGTTTGGAGAAACCTTGAAGATGCAACAGAAACAAAAAAGGACTGGGGGAAGAATGTGTTTTGTTTTCTTGACCTCGGAAAGCTGGGCTTGAGCTAGTTAGTCTTTTCAGTGCAGCCCTACTTGATAATTGGATAAGAGGATGACAGGTTATCTTTTTGTCTGCGGGTTTTCAGCGATTAACGTTTGCTCTGCATCTGTTACGTCGGGGCTGGCAAACCGGACGGCGCTTTTGAGGTTTTCCTTGGTCCCCTGTTGGCTCTTGGCGTAGGTGTGGCAGCTGGTCTGAGGGAAAGTTAAGTCAGGCGTACAGACTTATTACTGCCGTTCTGGCCCGGCAGCTTTTGCAGCAAGCTTTGTTTCACACTTGTTGGCGATACCCTTTTTCTGGCGTGAGTAACGCAGGCAGAGAAAGGGATTATGCTGCATAGATCACACATGGTCTCAGCAATACCGCCCAGTCTTGGTCTTATGCAGAGGATGAAAGTCATCCCTGGCCCTATTGGGTCTTGGACGTGACTTGTTTTCTTCTTCTTCCTCTAATTTCGAGCAGGTTTTCGCTAATTACAGTCGCTTTTACCTTAAGCGTTTATTCCGCATCGCGTATGTTCATTTCTCAGCTGGTCGTTTAGTTTAAGAGTGCATCTTTTACAGAGAACTTTGGGGAATTGTCGCCGATGCTATGGATATGGAGTTCTTGACGCTCTAGGCAGGCGGCTTGCCGCTCTGCGGAGAGAGAGGCCAAGCCATATGCAATATCAACCAGTGGCGGTGATGTCGAACCTCTCCATTTTAAGATGTCCATGCCTCCACATATCACGATATAACATTTTAGTCTGGAAAGATGCCAACAGCTGGTGGTCATCCGCGACCGGCTCCAGCTTACGGGTTGGGCTAACTGTGCGTTAACGCAGCGGTTCTCAAACAAGAAATAAACTATTATGACAACTGAAATTTTAACTTGTAAGTATCTACATGCCTTATTTAATAATTTCACAATTTTTAGCCGACTTTTCTTGATTTTTCCCGCGGCACCCCTGGCATTCGCTCATGGCACCCCCGGAGTGCTTCGGCACCCAGTTAAAGAACCGCTACGTTAACGCATCGTTAGCCTGACCCAGTGACATCAGCAGCACGGCCCGTTAGCTGGACCCGTGCATTGGCGTTTGCTTTGGTGTTCGGCATTTACAAGTAGTAGACACTCAAAACTATTCGATGTAATCTTTCAAACCTATTTGATGTAATCTGTCAGAACTATTCGGTGTAATCACTCGAAACCTATTCGATTTAATCGGTCAAACCTATTCGGTGTAATCGCGCTATGAGTTTATAGTGCTGTTTATGCTGTCATGCTCTGTAGTTTTAATCTCAACTGTAAGCTTTATTTGAATAGATTCGCTTTTAATCCGTACGATGTTAGCTATACGACACTTGCTAAGAACTATTCTATTGAAGTCGACTCAACTATACCGCCGCGCCTAAATCAGCTATTTAAAGGTTAGTTGCGTATCCTTTACAGGACGTTGCAGAACCAACCCCAACAGCCCCTGGCTGTTGTGTGGTTTCTCTAGGCAAATTTACGTCCAGTAATTTGCCATTGCCTACTGGACGGTCGGCTTTCTTGATACCACAGTCGAAACCAACGCATTACGAAGCGTTGGCATCGACTTAGCCACAGAGCCGACAAATCAACTATACTGTCACGATTGATACAGCTATACCATCACTGATACAACTATACCACATTAACTGATTAGTATACTATCACCACTGACAAATATAAACCACAGCTTCTGCACAATTTCTATTAACGTGATTCTTTTATTATTCTTGTGACATTACCATTTACAAATATAGTACAACACCTTACAAAAGTGTGATATTTCAGCTGCAACTAATCCTCAACGAATGATTCAAACAGACCGCGACATCTGGCAATATACTTTCACTCCTTGCACAGTCATCTTTCAGCTAACAGATCTTTACCACCGCATCTTACAACGATACTTTCGGGCCTTACACAGTCATACTTCATTTCTTGAATAACAACAGATCAATACATCTGACAACTATACATTACTGCCTGACAGCCATATTTTATTCAACAGCTAACAGATCTCCGCCACCATGTATGACAACTATGCTTTCATGACTTACACAGTCATACTTCATTCAGCGGCTAACATATCTCTACCAACATATATGACAACTATACTTTCAGGACTTACACAGTCATACTTCATTCAGCGGCTAACATATCTCTACCAACATATATGACAACTATACTTTCACGACTTTACCCATTCATACTTTTTTCAACGGCTAACAGGTTATCTACCATAACATCTGACAACTATACTTTCACAACTTTACCCAGTCATACTTTATTCAACGGCTAACGGGTCTCTACCACAACATCTGACAACTATACTTTCAAGACTTTATCCAGTCATACTTCTTTCAACGGCTAACAGGTCTCTACCACAACATCTGACAACTATACTTTCACTACTTTATCCAGTCATACTTCTTTCAACGGCTAACCGGTCTCTACCACAACATCTGACAACTATACTTTCAAGACTTTATCCAGTCATACTTTATTCAACGGCTAACAGGTTATCTACCATAACATCTGACAACTATACTTTCACTACTTTACCCAGTCATACTTCTTTCAACGGCTAACAGGTCTCTACCACAACATCTGACAACTATACTTTCACTACTTTATCCAGTCATACTTCTTTCAACGGCTAACCGGTCTCTAACACAACATCAGACAACTATACTTTCACTACTTTATCCAGTCATACTTCTTTCAACGGCTAACCGGTCTCTAACACCACATCAGACAACTATACTTTCACTACTTTATCCAGTCATACTTCTTTCAACGGCTAACAGGTCTCTACCACAACATCTGACAACTATACTTTCACTACTTTATCCAGTCATACTTCTTTCAACGGCTAACCGGTCTCTACCACCACATCAGAATACTAAACAACTACTACTAACACAACTATACTACCACAACCGGCTACCAGCGAACTATCATGGCTGCCCCAGAGCATCGCAACTCACTTTAGCATTACTACTATAACCCAGATACTCAGTGAGGTTAGCAGATCCCAGCTCCTCGATAACGATGATGCAAGTCCACATCCGAGTTGTATTCTCTGAGCCTTTACCGTAAAGCCCACAATAACACCGGGGCGACAGATTGTCGAACGCCAGCCATTCGAACTGTGAGTCGCCTTCTGATAACACGAACGACCGGCCATGAACGCAGCATGACACCAATGGCAACGGGTCGTTTCAAATTGAAAACGCGTACTGTTGCAGCAATGTTTGAATAGTAACCTGGATGTAATGTCAAGATTCTGCAATGGTTTATTAACATTTATAAACAGTTACGTAAGAGCATTGATTACAGTTACATTGAAGAGGATTGATTTCATTGCTCCGTAATAATAATAATAATAATCGTCTCCTCCTCCTCCTCCTCCTCCTCCTTTTTTCTTCTTCTTCTTCCTCTTGTTGTTCACAGGCTGTGAACTCCAGCGGAAAGTTCTGGCTCTTCGTCCAGTATTGTTCCAGTACTTGGGCTTTGCGTGCATGTCTGTTTTGAAGATGCAGCTTTTTTTGTATGCAGACTGTTGGTTTCGCCTCTCTGGCAGATGCACTCCGATTTTGAAGAAGAAAAAAAACATCTCTTATTAGTCAGTTTTTGCGACGTGCGTGGTGAGGAGGGGGGAAACTTTTACCCCCCACCCCCTCCACCAGTCCCGTCTGACACCCTTGCTCGAATAGATACCAAGCAGGCATCAAAGGGAGATTTTTTTAAATGTATGACGAAATTCTTGGTACTCAACAGTGTTAATGTCGGAATTTCGATATAAAGTCTTTTAAACCTCTTTTTAAAATGGGGAGGGAAAACAAATAGGGTGGGGGAGCGTTAAAAATAACAACGACCCCGTTTCACCTTATGGCGTTATGCACGTTTTCCCTACTAAAAGAAGAAACGCGCTGTTGACGACTGCAGATGCGAATAGACTGTTAGATGCCAAACTAACACAGGCAGACAGCAAATAGTTACCGCTCAACGGCTATCATAAAACGTTAATTATCAAGCTCCCGCCATTCGTTTGTGTGTTGTTGTTTTTTTTTACGTGTTTTTAAAAGCTATTTCTCGTATTCCGTTATATCATCAGTTGGAGAATGCTGCATTGGGAGCAGTCTTGTCTATGACGCAAGCATATTCTGTGTGTTTGCAATATCTATTTTACATTCACGCACCTGTGGATGAGTTCACACAAGTGTGTTTTAGAACGTGCTGACCTGTGTGTGTGTGCGCGCGCTTGTCTATGTTCTTATGTGTATTATATTTTAGAGAATTCTGGATTATGTATGTGCTCGGACGTGTATTGTAAAGACCCTAAATACAGTCTCTTCTCTCTTTGTCGCGCTCTCTCTCTCTCACTCTCTCTTTCTCTCTCCCTGTCACAAACACACATATATTCCGCTCTTTTCTCCCTCTTCTTACTATTCACCTCCCCTTACTTATAGCATCTCCCTTTTCCTCGTTATTCCCTCTCGTGCCAAGGCTGTCAACGTCTTAGTCTCATCTTTCTCATCTTTCTCACTGCCTTCCTATCTCCTTTCATTGCCTTCCCATCTCCTCTCACTCCCTTTCCATCTCCTCTCACTCTCTTCCCATCTCCTGTTACTCCCCTCGTCTCTCCCCCCCCCTCTTCCCTCGTCTCCTTTTCTTTCTTTCACTGCATTTATCCACCTCGCTTCCTTCCATTCTTTCCCATTTCTCTCCTTGCTTCATCCTCTTCCTCATCTCGTCTTACTCTTTCCCCTTCCTCCCGGTCATTCCCGTCTTTTCTCTTCTCTTGTTCTCATCCCTACCTGATCACCAGGCTCTCGACACCTTGCCTCTCCTACTGAGAACCGTGTATAAAGCTATAATCTAGACATGTTTTTTCCCCTTGTTTCTCTGCAGCTTTGTGTTTACCTGGCTGTGACGCAAACAATGGATTCTGCGACCAGCCCAACGAGTGCAAGTGAGTATTGTGAAAACGTTTCAGCCTCACCTTCTGTGTTATCTCTTAGATTCTGGTGAAACGATGGAGAGAGAGAGAGAGAGAGAGAGAGAGAGAGAGAGAGAGAGAGAGAGAGAGAGAGAGAGAGATAAGGAAAATGCATTTTCTTTGAATTGGTTAAAAGTTAGCCACAGAAGCTCACTCAGCATTTTGTCCTGAGAGAGAGAGAGATGGGGGGGGGGGGGGTCGAATCGTACAAACAAGTTTTTTTTCCAAAGGTTAATCATTGGGCTTGCAAATCCTTCTCACATTCTGCCGTAGAATAGTGAGAGAGAGACTTGGGAGACAGGAAAGGGTATGTTGAGACCAACTTTCCTTTTTTTTCCCCCAGCAGATTAGGAATTGGGTTTATTTACGCTTCCAGTATTCTACCTTCGGGACAGAGAAAGTGAGAGAGAGAGACAAAAAGAGAGAGAGAGACAGACAGACAGAGGAAGAGAGACAGAAAGAGAGGGGAAGAGAGAGAGGGGGGTCATGATGAAAAAAAAAAAGACCTTGTGATCTCATCCTTTTGCTGGCTGTTGCATGGAGCTGACATCATCATCATCATCATCATCATCATCAGACACGCAGGAATATCCCATCATTGTTCAGTAAAAAACTGGGAAAACTGGCACACATTAGGTCGCAACTTCAGACATGGCGACTTGTGTTTTCACCTCCTTGCCACAGCTCATGTCGGTTAAACCAATTTGGTACTTAATTTATAACTTACCCCTGATGTCACGACAACGTCACGGGAGACTTTCCCAATAAATTCTAGGGTGTTCAGGTTGTAGTTTCTCGCGATTTCTCTACAGTAAAGTTTAGGGTTAGGGTTAGCGTTAGGATTAGAAGACAGTAGATGAACACTCAAAAAAAAAAAAAAAAAACCCACACAACAGCACACTTGCACCCCTTGAAATAATGGACTGTCAGGTCAGCTGTGGATTTCCCACGGGGATTTCCTGTTTGGGGTACGTTATAAATTAAGAACCACCAATTTTTACGAAACAATTCGTTCCACAGAACGAAGAAAGCGCGTCAATGGTGTTAGACACAATCAGCGTTGCGGCTATATAAGGTCAGGGTTAGTTGCGTATCCTTTACAGGACGTTGCAGAACCAACCCCAGCAGCCCCTGGCTGTTATGTGGTTTCTCTAGGCGAATTTACGTCCAGTGGTTTGCCATTTCTTCCTGGACGGTCGGCCCCCTGATACCACTGTCGAAACCAACGCAAGGCGCATGACCCACAGCTGGAAACGAACCCGGCACCCCGGCATTACGAAGCTTTCGCATCGACTTAGCCACAGAGCCGACTGCGGCATAAGAAAGGATGGAAACATCTGGAATACGGAAAACCCCTACAGACTGAAGATAATCTGCGCCCCTTAAAGTGATTGGGGAAGGGCTTAGCTTCCACCCCCACCCCCCACCCCCCATCCCTACCTTAGCCAAGAAAACATTGAGAGGGAGTTGTATAAGGTGCCACCCCCACCCATTTTGTTTTCTCCCTACGTTCTGGAAATATTCTTATTTAAAAAACCTACATTTCCACAGCGATAAGAAGGGCTGTCAGAAGTTTTTTTTTTTTTTTTAATAGAATATCGGAATTCGAAATTGAATTGGAATTTCTTAAAACGCGTCTGCTGTTTTCCAATGAACAAATTGCGATTGCCAGCGTGCTTCGGGGCACGTGCATAATGTGCATAAATTGAGCACGATATGCTTTGCCAGAGAGCACTAACAGCTAAGAGGGGAAAAATGCATTCTCATTATCTCAAATGAGGGGTCATTGTCTTGGGAATGTTCTCCTCCGCTTGCCTGTGTTGCCGGGGCTAACCTTATGGAAATATTAACTGGCAGATCGTTAGTGAAGGGAAGGCCAAGGCGTTGTTAATGATTCAGCGGTTAACGCCACGTGTTTCGTATCAAACTGTATAATTGACTTTAAAAAAAAAAAAGGCTGTTTAAGAAAGCGAGGATAAACTTGCATTCTGTTAGATACGTATTAAAAAGGTTAGAAAAAAGTACATGAAATCTATGGGGTAAATAAGCTTGTCAGTATAATTGGAAACTGGCATGGACGATCATTATTCCCATTGTTCTTGGAGTTTTAAGCTGTCGCTACATGTATTATCTTTGCAGCCAAGACAGTCCAGAATATTTATTCCCCGTTGTTAACATAGGCGGCGTCCGTGGCTTAGGCGTTGCGAGCCCGACTCGTAATTCTAACGTACTACCGCGATCGAAACCCACTGCTAGCTGCGTGGATTTGTATCATGGTTTGGGGCGTTGCAGGTCGACCCAGCCTAACATGGGTATCAGGATGGCTGTCCTGGGGAAGTAAAGACGGCCGGCGTAGTGCTGACGACATTACCCACCTAGTGCCGATTGGTCTGTAATGATTTGGGAAGCTCTTCCCATATGCCCGATTCGCATAAGGTGTGAAAAGGGATCTTTACTCACGTTAACTTTACTATTGTTAACATGTAGAAATTAAACATGTTGCACAGTTTTCAAAAGAAGCATAGTGCATGTTATTTTTCAAAGTCCTTACTTTATTTGTTGAAAGTTTCACTACTCATACACTATCCTTACTTCTTGGTTGGTTGGTTTTGAATTGTTTTTCTCCTCTGGTCAGGAGTGCTTTCAGATTGGCTGCTTAGTCCTGAAAAGGGCTGATGTTGTTGAGGTTGCATAGAGGCTGCTTTTCGCTACAAAGACCATTTTGCACCGCCTTTGGTAAAGATGCTATGCTGTGTTGGGGAGGGTAAATAAAGTACAGAAGAAAAGAAATGATGGTGAGTGAATGAAGTTGAACCCCACCAGGACCGCACAACGAGCGATAAATACATGGTGACACAAAGTGCCACTATTTAGATTAGGATCACCCGGGTACAAGTCCCAGAAAACCCGTTCAACCGTTAGGTTAAGTTAGGGCCCCGACACCAGCCGGAGCGAAGCTTTAAAATAACGAAACATTGCGACCTATTTTGGGAAGGCAATAGATAATAATAATTACAACATGAAATGATGGTTTCAACTTACTTTTAGTAAACAATTCTAGTACTTAACAAATAGTGTATTGATTGGTACTCATAGAAAGAAGTGGAAAGGCAGAAGGACACACTAGGCAACATACAAATCTAAATCTGTAGTTACCATGCCGGAAATCGAACCTGTCACCTCCAAATGGTGTACGCGCGACTGGGAGACAAAACTGTTACTTCCTCTAATTGTGTCCCTCTTTGTTTTACCACAGTTGCCGCTTAGGATACCAGGGCAAATTCTGCAAGGATTGTACCCCTTTTCCAGGCTGCCAGCGAGGCCACTGTGAAACTAAGCCTTTCCAGTGCGTCTGTGAAGAGGGATGGGGTGGTCTTTACTGTAACCAAGGTAAGGAGTTTCCGCTTATATTGACTGTGCTTCGTCGGGTTTATCATTACACAGTTTTAGTAGTATTGCTTAAATCTTTCTGTCCCAAGCAACGCACCACACGTGCCAATCATATGTCTGTTTTTCGACCCAACACACTGTATTATTATTTATTTCATGTTTGGTTTGGGTATGCACAAAAAAATATGGCTGAACATTTTAAATGCAGCACAGCATATGGTGTATCTTTGAAAGTCATACACATTGTGCCAGATTGTGTTTCTACTTTGAAACTATCTGGGAATAAAAAAGTTAATCGTGTTATATAGTTAACTAAGGGCAAAAGCTCATGCGCAGCTGGATCGAAAACACAATGTAGTTAAATGGAATCTGCTGCTGCTGGATTTGCATGTTTTGCTAGTTTATTTATAATCATCATCAACATAGAGACGTCATCTTCATTAAGTTGTGGCATATATACATCAAACAGTGGATACCACTGACATTTGCAAACATACCTGCGGCCCTTTGCAAGCATACCTGCAGCCCTTTGCAAGCATACCTGCGGCCCTTTGCAAGCATACCTGCAGTCCTTTGCAAGCATACCTGCAGCCCGCACAAAGACTCTACTTAGTTGTCTTGTGTGGTCCTTCCCATGACATCACACATACTGCCCTCAGGGGCTCCTCAGTTTGACATGCTTGCTTTAATTATCTTGTATAAAATTCAGTCTCTAGCCTCTCTCTTCATTGTTTGACACAGGGTCTCTGTTGGACCTCCTTGCTTCCTTAGTCCATTTATTTCTTATTTGAGTGTCTTCTATATAATTATATTTTATTTTCATCATAGACTATACCAAAAATATTTAAATTTCCCTGCCAGTTGACATTTTATTGAGGTAAAAGTTTATAGAGGTATCAAGGTGTATTTATAGTTTGAAAAAAAAAATTTCGGCTGAAAAAAAATTTCAAATACATTGAAACCCAACGTTTATTTGATGGGGCTGTATTTACTTCCTAACTTGCTTACAAGTTACCATCATCTTATTTTTGTGTGTATCAGTAATAATTACACCCTTCCCCAGATCTCAACTTCTGCACGCACAACAAACCCTGCAGAAATGGGGCTGTGTGCCACAACATTGGACAGGGTGGCTACAACTGCACATGTGTTGGAAGCTACACCGGGGTCAACTGTGAGATTGAGGTGGATGATTGCAAGAACATGCCTTGTCTGAACAATGGAATCTGCAAGGTAAGCTGTTGCCCTTTTGAATTTTTGGATAAGGCTTGTCATTGTATAACGTCTGGCATCTTACAAGTATATTATTCATTCATTGATTGTGCTGGTGTATTGATTGTGGTTCAGGATTTTTCAACTGGTGGCCCATCGGCCAAATCAGGCCCGCTGAGGCCTAAAAAGTGGCCAGCGGTGCATTTCCAGTAGTAACATTTTTTAAATTATCTTTGTATGTTCAAGCTCAGGCCTCCGGCCTGTGATGATACCCAGTTTTAAATGTAGGTTCCTGAGTAAACTTAGTTGAATAGCCCTCACATAGGATTGCAGTCTATATCTCCATTCTGTTCTGTCCTATGCAATCACTTCAAAATCATGGATCGAATCCAGGCTAGAACCTTTGTCTTCTCTCATCAGTGTTTACCTTATGGTTTCTCTTATACATTCTTATGCAAGTTTCTGTAGCAGATAATTTGTGTACAGGGTGATGAAACATGATAATAATTGATTATTTACTTTTGGATACTCATAAAGTGATATAAATTGATGATTTTCTCCAGTATATGGATAACCTCATATTTTAGGATTTGTTCTAGGAGACAGATAACGTGATAATATTTTATTAGATTGTCTCTGGAATATAGATAGCATGGTAATATTTGGTGCTTTGCTTTAAGATACAAATTTACCGGGAAGGCTAACCCAGGCAACAAATTAATGCAGAAGTCAGATGTGTCAGCCAAAAGGCTCAGATATCGCAGCCATGTTGTAAACAGGTGCAGCACATTTATGTCTTTGGATGAATGCAGAAGAAGAATATACAGATTGCGAGCTGATAATTTTGTTTTCAGAACATATGTGCATGGAAATGATTTATATATCTCCAGGATATTAACATTACGATAATAAATTTGGAAATTTTTTTTCAGGATATTGGAAATGGATTCCAATGCCAGTGTCCAAAGGGCTTCTATGGGCGCCAGTGTGAGAAGGAAGCCGACTCTTGTAAAGCCAATCCTTGCATGTTTGGGAGCACCTGTGTGGACAACGAAGAACTCTACTTCTGCCTTTGTGAGCCCGGGTACACAGGTTTCAACTGTGACATGGCCATTAATGAGTGTGAACCGGCGCCTTGCCTCAATGGTAAGTATATACTTTCCCTTTCTTTATTTCTGTTTCATTGTGTAACTTTTTATTGTTTTATACCTTCATACCTTACCTTTGGGAGCAATTGAACAGTGCGGAAGCACAAATAGATCATTACAGTTTGAGGAGAATAACACTGTGGGGAGTTACCAGAGGATCTGGCTGACGCTTAACAACTATGGAAAAACCGTAACTGATATACAATCAGACTGTTACTGGTACCATTAGAATTAGAACTTTTCTTTTGCTGCTGAAAATCGAGGACGGAGCACATATGGGAGTGCCCCGAGTGCTTTGAAGTTGATTCTTAATTAAACACTCAGCTTTCATTAAAAATTTAAATTTTTAAAATAATTTCATTATTTAACTGTTTTATAGTTTTAACACTTTCAGTAATTAGTCCTTTTATTATTATAGGGTATACATACAGTGTCTATTGATAGGGCATACATATAGTTGCCCAATGTTATGTCATCTGCAAATTTATGTCACAAATTCATCTCAAAATTTCTATAATTCTTATTGAAAGAAATAGTGTTAGAAATGTGAGTTGGAGGGTTGTGTGGTTTCAGATTTTCTTCAAAATATTCACATTTTGTGTGGTATTTTCGTTATTGTTAAAGGAAATTATTTTCTTGTTTGTAAATATATTTGATCATTTTTTGATGTTTTGTGCTTTGCCTTCTTTCAGGTGGCAGCTGTGTTGACCAGCTGAATGGCTACCGATGTGTGTGTCCAGTTGGCTATAGTGGTGCCCAGTGCCAGAACAATGAAGACGACTGTCACCAGAAGCCATGTCTAAACAACGGTATCTGCATTGACCTGGTCAACGACTTTCGCTGCCAGTGTGTGCCAGGGTTCGTGGGAACACTGTGTCAGGACAACGTCGATGACTGTGAAATGCGACCATGTGCGAACGGTGGCCGTTGCACCGACCTGGTTAACGACTTTAGTTGTGACTGCGCTGCCGGCTTTGAGGGAAAAGACTGTAGCATGCAGATTAATGAATGCAAGAGCAACCCTTGTCTTCACGGAGGCATATGCAAAGACTTGTTTGCTGATTACTCCTGCTCCTGCCCTGAGGGATTCTGGGGTAAAAACTGCCACCTGTCTGAAGATGTAATGATTAATAATGACCTCAGCAGCCATTCAAATACAACTAAGCAACCACCTCAGCGAACCAGTCCAGGCAATGGCTATCTCCTAGTTTTATTTTTGCTTCATCTTCTTGTGATTCTTTTGTGTTGGTTTCTCAGCTGATTATCGTTATTGCAGATAAAACTGTTCAGTCCACAGGTGCTTGGGTCTCCTCCTTAGAAAATCGTGCAGTGTGTAGCAGACTACACCTGTTCTGTGTTGGTTAGGGTTAGTAGTAGTCCCCATTCATTTAACACTAACCCTAAACCCTCGCCCCCCTCCCCCCAATATGAGATGTCCCTAAATCACGTGGTCGCTAAACAGAAAAGAACCAGATTCTTTCCTTGTTTGCCCTTAAACACTTGAGAGGAGAATGCCTGGCAGAGATAGAAAAACTAGAGTCAGTGACTATGATGGACCGTCCGACAGTAGAAGTAAACAATAACTTGAAGCAGAATGAGGGTACATATTCAGAGAAAGAAGATTATATCAAACAGCCAGACATTGACTTGAATGTTTTTCGTTACAGTAGTACGATCAGTTTGGTTGGCGCTTTGTATTGGGGTGTAAAGTTCCACTGCAATATCTGTGCCCTTAGGCCCAGTTTGTCGGATTTCAGCAAACCATTAATTAGGCATGGGAGTCGCCGTGCCGTTGGTGGCCTGCCTGCCTGCCTGCGGACCAAAAGGTCGTGGGTTCGCGTCCTAACGGAGCCGGACTTTTTAAAAAATAACCTTGACTGCCAGGTCGACCCAGCCTTGAGTGGGCATCAGGTGCAGTCCTAGGAAGTAAAGTAAAGGCGGCTGGCGTAATGCTGACCACATCCCCCACCAACTGCCAGTTGGTCTGTAAAACTATAGGTCTAGCCCTATATTCCCAATAAGCCTAAAGGTGCGAAAAGGGACCTTTATTTTACTTAATAAGTCAAGTTGAATATAACACACAATGTGATTAGAAAGTTCAACGGAAAGAATGGAAAAGACGCACACAAACACAGCCGAACGTTTTGACCAATCTTTATCAACGTAATAACACACACAGAAGCTTAAAAAAAAAATAAGGTGGCATTATATGTATACACGGGGCAGGCCCAGTCGATTAAACATCAAAAGTGATGACGTAAATAGGGGGTGACTGCAGCTAAGCCGCCTTTCATTAGTCGGCTTTTATCAAATTTTTTTTAAGGGGCGATGGTTTTATTCCCCAAGCCCTGGTTATAAACTCTGGTCTCAAAACATGACCAAAACAATACACAGTCAGTGTCCTAATATAGGAAGTCATCTTCTTTGCAAACTGGTCTCTTGCAGTACTGGGACACCCACTTAAAATGGATGTACACGCAAAACACAGGCCATGGCAAGAAGCCAGTCTAAATGGACGAACGAGGACTTTTTGCTGGAGCTGGCAACCGGTTAACAGAAGAAGAATTTGGTTTACTTTTTTTTTCAATCAGATGCTATTCGTGTTACCCCTTGTGCAACCAGTAGACACAATTTGCCCTGCTGCTTGGCGAGTCAGTGGTTACCCTTTCCACGGTGTTTGCCTGTTAATAATCTTTGCATTTTACCTGAAACCCCTTCTGCCTTGAGATTACTGGCAGTAAAGTAGGTGCTTTGTTAACATCATGCCCCAAACAGGGAAATCCACAGGTCACGGGACAGTCCAATATTTCAGGGGATGATAGATATGCTGCATGCAATCGTGGGACCTAGGCTTAATTCTCTTTTAGGACGTAGGTGGGTTTGGGTTAGGGCCAGTTCTAAATGCTTGGAGTCGTTAAAAGCATCAGAAAGCCGGGAAACCTAGTCTTACCACCCTCTAAAATGTTGGACTGTCATGTGACGTCATCCGGGGGTACGATATTAATGAAGCACCGTAAAGTAAATGGTATAAAAGTGGATGAGAGAGACCAAAGCTGTTGGACTGGATTTCATCCTATGATATTCATCTGATCGCACAGGATAGAACGGAATGGAGAATTAGATTGCGAGCACCTTGTGACATATAACGGCACAGCAGGATAATGAATGAATGAATGAATAGAACAAAGGTCAGTTTTTCGAAAACAATCTGACCCGGATGTAGATTTGAACGCAAGACCTTCGGACCTTTTGACGATGGTCTAGCCCAGTGATTTCTAAACTGTGAGCCACGGAGAGCCGAGACCTCTTCATTGGGGCGCCTCGAAATATTATTGTAAAAGCTTCATAATTAATTTAACCAAGACACGAATAGTCATACTTTTACTTTGGTTAGGGCGGCGTGGAAAAAGTTATTTGAAAAAAGGCACCGCGATCAAGAAACGTTTGGGAAACACTGTTTAGCCAATACACTACCGCGGCTTCTTTGTTCCGTGTTGCCTGTGTGTACATCAGTAGATGTTCCGTTGAGCAGTTTATTTAATACTCTTATTCGCTCAGGCAAGCAATGCACCAACGCATGTGAGAAGCAGTATGGACAGAGCAGATATCATCAACGCTGTACTGACTGGGCTAGTGGATAATGACGAATCTCTGACACTAACACGAATACATGACATTGGAGTAAAGCACAGTGAAGCACGTCTATGCACCCTTCGAGGCCGAGATAGAAGAAATTATAACCAACCTCTCAAGGAAACAATTAGTAGAAGAAGTACCTTGAAGTAGTTGCTGGATTGGAGGACTGAGCACGCATGGGAATGCCCATTGTGCAGTGACGTCGATCGTGATAACATAACATCTTTTACACACGCGCTGCCAACAGTGATACAACTGTGGCTGTCCTCGCATGGCACATAATGATGGTGATGAGTAATTAATTACTGGAAGGGTATCTGATAGAGTATAGTTGTTTGTCATGTAATGGATTCTATGAGAGAGACCAGGCGGAATCGGGATGTTGAATTAAGAATCAACATCAGACCACTCGGGACACTCCCATAAGCGCCCCGTCCCCCATCTTCAGCAGCAGGCGAAGAGTTCAAATTCCGATGGTACCATTGACTGTCTTGTACCAGGGGAATTTATGCCGGGCAAATCCGCCTATTCATTTCCCAGCACACCGGTATGGCAGGAGAAAAGATCCAGGCAGTGCCTGTCACCTGTGACCTCCGCAGCGAAGCTTGCCACTCTGCACAAAACAAGCCTGTCATCAGCTGCATGTTAAACCATAAGTGCCAGCCAGCGGTGCTTGAGCAGTTGATTAGTTTTTTTTTTTTTTTTTTTTTTTTTTTTTTTGAAATCCTTCAGGGTTTTCTTGCTTTAATTTATTTGTTTTCTTTAATCTTGCCTGGATTTTAATTGTCCGTTTGTTGTTGTCTCCCCTAATCTCTACCACGTCAGGGTAATTTCCCTTGCATTTTGGCGTCGTTTCATTTGTATCTTTTAATCCATTGTTCTCGTCGGTTTGTCGGAGTGTAGAGGGCTGCATGGTCTCAAGGCATGTTGTCTTTCTCGAGTGCTAGAGGTTCCGGGTTCAATCCCCGGTAAGGGCTGGGATTTTTTCGCGTGGACTTGGACTTCTAGTAATTCCCCTGGTCTCTGGGTAGTGAGATAGGACGCTCGTGCGCATTGTTGCGCACGTATAATATCCCTTGGCAGTTGGAAATCGTAAAGAGTGGCCTAACGGCGCTGCCCGGGCAAAATTTGGAATTAAGAATCTACCCAAAGTATTTCAGGATCCTCGTCGGTGCTATAGTGTCTATGCACTGCTCTTAGCTTCTTCAGACTTAGACTTGAGTTAGAAGAAGAACGGAGCACTTATGGGTTACTTACTACCCGCGGGTCATGATGTTGATCCGTTGTTCAAACCTCAAACCTGTCGAAGTGTCTCAACCCCCCCCCCCCCCTCTTCCCGCCTTCCTTTTCCCCCAGTGATCGTAGATCTGTTTTTAGCTTTCTTGTTAGTTGCGTATCCTTTACATGACGTTGCAGAACCGACACCAGCAGCCCCTGGCTGTTGTGTGGTTTCTCTAAGCAAATTTACGTCTAGTAGTTTGCCATTGCTTTTTGGACGGTTGGCACCCTGATACCACTGTCGAAACCAACGCAAGGCGCATGGCCTGCAGCTGGGATCGAACCCGGTACCCCGGCATTACGAAGCGTTCGCATCGACTTAGCCACATAGCCGACTGTTTTTAGTTAGGAGAGTTGAAGTTCAGAGGATCTACTTTGTCGCTTCAGATTATCACATATACCTGAAGGATGGAAAAATAAAAAAATGAAATTTTTTTAAGATTGTAAGCCTTGAGATGGGGAAACAAAATTTAGATACAAGTAAAAAGATATGTGATGTGAAACAGTGACAACTTTACATAACAACATATAAGAGTAATTCTTATCTGATAGTGTACTGAACTTTACCTGCGATTCTAATGTAATTTTCCTCTTTTTTTTTTTTTTTTTAATATGACTAATGTGACTGGTAAGAGTGAATGACGAGAGGTTCTGGCCGATACTCGACGCTCAGAGGAAAGGCAAGATGGACGTGTAATCAGACTGCTGTTGGCACCATAGGTATTGGAACTCTGCGCTGGCTGCTGAAAATAGAGACGGAGTGCTTATGCGAACGTCAGGAGTGCTGTGATATCGGTTCCTGAATCAACCCAGCTCTTAAATATGACTATTAAATAGTGTGGGCTTCATGGAAGACCTATGAAAGAGGGGTCCGCATTTTTTATCTAGTTGGGAACCACTGATCCATACCGTGGTACATATTTTAAAACTTCTGGCCTTTTTGCTCACTCTTTATTCATTGCATTTTCATGACTGCGCTTCCATTAAGCCTGTCAGGAGCACACAACTCGGCTGCTTTGGGATCAGCAGTAATAACATAAACTCTCAGTTATCTCCACTTGATTTCGTCTTCATTTAACTTTAATGTTAGCAACTTTTTGTTTGTTCTAATCACGAACGTTTTTTCTTTTGAATTTCAGTGAATATCACACATACCATTCCCGTGACTTTCAAACAACAGGCAAATCAAAAATGCCGGAGAAAAGCACTTCAATGAACGGAAAGGAGCGCTACTTCAAAGGCAGCAGCGCCCACAGTCCAATCTATGTCTCTTCACTTTACCGGGCATCGTCGCCGCCCCATGTTGCTCGCTCACTGACGCCACAGCAGCAGCAGCAGTCACTACTG